CTCCTTTTCAAATTTGGATCGAACTTTGTATCTTTCTAATAAATGATTGAATTCCATATTTATTTTAAAACTGCAGAATTTTCAGTCTTTATGAATTAATTTATATTGCCCAATGATGCTAATTTCGAGCTTTAATAACATGCGAAAATTTACAATTTTCATATACTGTAGGCTAATGCAGCCACGATAGACATACTTAGAACGATTTCAATCAAAATTTTTAGAATAAGGTAATATATCCGAAGTGTGATCGCAAAGTAACCTTTAAGATGTCTTTAGAAAGCTTTTTATCCAAAAATATTTTAATTACTAAGCGCAAAATGCAACATTTCTGCTCTTAGTTTAATCATCCGTATTTATCTTCCAGTAACCCTTTCAACTAGCTAAGTATCCTTTCAGTTTTGTGTTAATTAACCTAAAAATGTCCTTACTTTTGCTTCTAATTCCGCAGTAAGACCAAAACCCTTTGGACGTGAAGCCATTTTCAAGTCAATCTTTGATCTTTGATATTCGAGTTAAAAAGAAATAATCTTTCGCAAGAATGATCAACAAGTAGAAAAAGCAAAGAAGTTATCGATGATTCTATTCAATAGGAAACCAAATCACTTAAATGAAGCCTTTCTCTTCTCAAACATATAATATAATTCAATAGGCAAGTAACAACAGTGCATTGATACCTTAATTTAGGAAAGAAATAGTAAAGATCCCGTAGACGCAAAGTTGAATTGTTTGGGATGCCTTTTGTACCTCCATAATATCATAACTATCTATTGCTTTCATGGATATGATAATATTGGCTAAGTGATTACTGTATCATTAGATATTCCGCAAGGAATTATTTCTTAAACACTGCATTTTAATAGGCAAGTAACAAGCATAAAATCATTTCCATAAGTGCCTACAGTCCCCAGGGAAGGTATAGAAAATAGAAGAAAGAACCATTTACTAAATTTCCATACTAGTAGTTTACAAGATGGTGCTTCAGCTAAAGTTGGCAACTACCTAGGGCTAGAGCCCAGGTGAAAAAAAAAATATTTAAAATAAAAGTAATAGTACGCGAACATCAAATCGATGTATATTAAATGACTTCATCGAAACTATGATAAGACAGTATTGTAATAAAAAAATTAATCAGTAAATAAATGGAGAACGTGAAAAGAAAATAGTCATCAAGTTGTCGATAAACTAATTTTTTATCTAATATAAGATTGAAAGTTCACACAATATCCGAAGGGTACAATGAAATTATTACGTCAAGCGTAGGCATTATGTTGGATGATTTACAAAAAAACAAGGAACTGTTAACAGAAGCGCATATATATATTAAATTAAAATACTAAGTATACTAAATAAATAATCAATAGTTAAAAAATAAAGAATAAAGAAATGAATACAGTAAAGGAGTTATTTATGACTAGTGCTTACGAAAGTGTTATGCAGTAATGACAGTCATGCATTAATTAAAACGTGATCATATCGACAAGTATTGGCATATGAAGTAATGAATACATCTCTACATCTGTTAGCTACATAAACTGATTGTAATTATAGAATTTTTTCTATTATTTTCTTTCTAATTCATTATCCAACGATGGATTTGCATGCATTGACGTTACAAACAGTATCATGGATTACTAAATATGCCTGCGGATACATTTAGTACTCCATGATAGAGAGAAGACACTCAGAGGCACTGAAAGACATTTAATTTTCTCTAATTCAATAAAAGAAGTTACTGGCATGAAGCTTAACTAGGAATCACTATATGAAGATCAAGTGCAGCAACCTCCTTCTAGTTAGCCCCTGGCTTAACTCGGACGCATAGAGGGCATTTTTCAATGTATCTTATCTACTTGCACGCTTTTCTATACTGTCAACTTCCGAAAGAAAATTCCGAAATAGAACTACCTCAGAGGTCTTTTGAGACTAAGTACAGTGATAGATTTTCTCCATCATGCCATAAAAGGAAAACACTAATTTACATATGGTCAACGACATCTTGATACGAGAAAACAACATGGTACGTGTCGCATTAAATTCCATTCTACAGTTTTACTCTCTGCATGTCTTTTATCTTGATAGCTATAATCCCTATCATGACTGGGGATTCGATCTCATATGTTGATCAATTGTGATCGTAGTTAATTGCAGTTATACAGTATGAGGCTAATGGAATGAAATGTCACATTTGTACTGTACCTGGTATGAGACTGGGATTTTCGAGTTGAGGTCGAGTCTGATAGCCGAATATAGGATTATTACAATAATTAAAATGCTCCTCTATAGCAACTGCCGTATTCTTACGCCAAATGTAAGCTGCAATAAGCAATAAATTTTCTATTATAAGATATTAGTATTATTTTTTAAGTTAGTAACTAATTCACTTAACTTATAACACAGTATTGCTAATATTAAATTGAATCATACGGCACAAAGATCATATCGATTGAATCACTATCTTGGAGCCACACTAAAAAATCGTTTATAAACCTAGTGCATCGAACAAATATAGACTTGCAGCAAACTATACAGACAAAGAACTGAGTTGACTTTACCAATGACTACCAAAATACTAATTTATAAATCTCTTGCTACAGAAATTATGTAAGTACGATAATTACTACATCACTGCACGCGAATCCTATATAGTAAATCACTGTTGATCTCTTGTTGATGAAACGCGAAAGCCGTATCACTTTTGCTCAACCAATACATCACGTTAAAAATTAAAAGTCAGATAATGTTGTTAATGCATTAAAATCAATTTATAGGCTTTTCACCTATCAAAAAATATTCAAGGATCATAATTTTGGAAGATCCATCTCAGTGCAATACGTTGTATGCGTAGCCTTTTGTAGAACAAAAAGTATTCTTAGGTTATCAATAACAAAATACGCTATTTCCATGAGAAAGATACGCATAGAACTATTATGTACAACTGATGGTCACAACAGATTCTGATTCCAAAGAATTAATGGAAGTTGCGTTCGAGCAGGTAGTAAAATGTACTATTGTAATCATATTCATTTATAGCTAAGCCAATTGAAACAGTTATTCTAGAATACTATTAAATTATAGTTTGTATTTATTATTGTAGTGATGCTTATAAACTTAAAAAGAAATGATATTAAACTCTAGTTAGGTTATTTCAAGACATTTATGTAATTGTATCCTAATGCGTTCAATCATCATATAATTTAAAGAAGACTTGCAGCTAATATTACCAACGCGAATTTCGTTAACAATCAATATACTATATTATTATATAATTATTCATGATTGACAACTCCAAAATTGATCGAAAGGCTTGTGGTGTTATCTCTAATCAGGTTGCTTGGTGCCTTGTTATATTAGTACACTAGTATCGTATTTTATTTTACTCGCCTTAAAAATTTGCATAATGCCTATATTAAGTGTTATATATGTAATACGGGCCATGCATTCCAAACAGATAATGTGGAAAATGCAAATACATGCGTAGCATTGCAATCGATCGAATAGCGTTATATTACCTAAATGCAATGCTTGCCCATTGTGACTACAAACGCAGGTGTGAAAAATTTATTAAAAATGATTTAAGGAATATTAAGCAAGTTTTGATTAGTTTGAAGTTTGGGGCTAATTTAAAGGTCTGCACACATTCCAATTATTGTGGGTAGTTGACTTATCGAATGGCAAATATTTATTTGAAATATGGCAAATGAAACAAAGAAAATAGTACCTGATAATGTTTGGTCAACAAAATTTAATTTGGGCTACACATTTACGCTAAAACATACAAGAACATCCTTCCTTAAGACTATTCTATCACAATAAATGCTACAGATATTGAGAGTACAGGCATAATTAATCCTTAATTTAGATATAAATGATACTATAATGCAAAATGATAGCATCCAAAAATTACGATACCATTGTATGATTGAAAATGGAATTAACCGTAAAATATTAATGAAGCGTTACTAAACTACAGCAATGCCAAGATAATGTAATCAACTGGCAAATAACATGATGATGAGTTACTATCCAAGATTCCACTTTAACTATTGGAAAGGAGGTACGACGAAACCACAAATTTCTATCTGTAAAATGCATGACGAAGTATTAAAATTAGCTGCATTACTTCATAGTATGATACTAATAAATAATCACTTTAATCTATAAATGTTCAAGCTTTTGAGGGTTTTGTCGTGATCACTATATATTGCAATAAAGATAAAAAAGTGCTAATAAGCGATTATACTGTACATGTCGGGCAAATGCTTCAATGCCATAAAGGACCTATGAAATAAGACAAGGCAAAAATCGATCATGACATGTTATAATCATTAGCTCGGCTGATCGATAAATTTTAGTTAATAGTCACTTTAACTTTAAAGTATCACCAATACTGACCTGCGGAATATTGGTGCCTTCCAGTAAATGTTCTACTTCAAATAAATCTTCAGCGCTTACTTCAAAATCTTGAGCATAATCCAGAAATAATTCGATATTTTGCTTCTACAAGTATGATTTAGGAAATAATTAACGGGCAACTGATATAATTGCAACACTAAATCTACGAATATAAGTTGGTACAGTTATGAAATCCCGCTGCAAATATTCAATCTACAGTAATAGGCAATCGAGGAAGTAATGTTTGCAATTATTTTAACAAGACTTCGATTTAGATAGAATAACCTAATGCTCTGATTGTTGACATTTTGATAATAAAATGATGGGACAGTCTTAATGGCTAGTTATTCATAGTTTCGACCACATCAATACGTGCATTCATTCAAATTGCCTTTTACTTTTCTCACCTGATCTTCAAGTGTAGTTGGTTTTACATATTCTAAATGCATATCGGGACATAAAGCATTATATAACCTAGATTAATCAAAATCATAATAGCAATAACACTGAGCTTTGAAGTTGAAAGTATTTTCATTATTACTAAATGCATATCTGTATCAGACAATGTGAAGCAATGTATAAATATTAAAAGAAGAAATATTATAATAAATCCTCGTTCGGGTAAGAATAGAACAAAAAGTGGTTTATCTCATTAAGAAAAAGTATGCATGGTGGGAATTACTGCAATCAGCCTTAATCGATTTTGACGAAATGCTACATTTACTGACTGTTAACAATTTTACTCATACATATCGTGTCGTTTTTAAGATTAGCAGAAACAATAAATAATTAAGGCTGATTCGTTATTTATCCTGCTGTTTAAAATTGAATTTTGGTCCTCTCGCAAGATATATTTAGCGTAAAACATTTTAAAACATAATAGAAAGTAGTTCATTTAAGGGTATCATGTATCGAGAGAATTTTCCATCAATCGCTAGCAATAGATATAGATAAGGATTTGTAGTTAAGATATTGCGATGGCTGGTTTAAGATTATTAGTAATGATAAATAATAGTAACCGCGATGCAAACAGAAATGATGGATTTCTTAAAAGCAATTAATGATGAGAAAAATTTCCGTCAGCAGTAACCAATAATACCAGTAGCTAAAATTTAAAATAAAGCTGTACCTTACTACTTAATTTATAATAACATGATTCTTTTTGATTAAGCAGCTTACAGATATCAGTATATTTATAAAAGATAGAATTTATGCTTTGTGTCTTTGGTTTCAAGGCTTTAATGTCTTGAATTACGATCTTAAATGTGATAAGTAGCAAATAATAATATTTAAATCCCTAAAGAGTTTTAATTCTAATGTAGTCGTGACAGATAAGCAATCTATAATTCCTTTCATGTCTCTAAAATATGTAATAGACATACTGTTACATGCTTGTTGAAGCAAATTAAGAAGAATTAATTTCGATGATAAAGTACTAATGACTGTTAGAGACAGTGATGGTTCGTATATGAAAAATAGGCTCTAAAGTTAGACCTCCGGTAATCCTAAGTAAGACTGTAACGCTAGACCTGAGTTGAATAATGGTATTGATTTAGGACGGAGTTCAGTCAGTAGCCTTAGAAATAACTGTATATAGTTTACGTGGCCCAAGTTTTACAACTATAATATTGAACAATAATTGTAAACTATACTTAACCGCCACACTGGGAGACAGATTATTGAGTAGCCAACTCAGAGTAGAGCTAGATAAAGTACTTTATTATAAACTGAATGTAAATCGATGAACCACTGATATTCATATAGCATCGGAGTGGCAGTCATTTAGCCTTCTCTTACTATCTATAGTAATTTAATTCTAGTTTAAAACCTTTACTTACTAAAGTAACAATCAATGACTGAACAAAATTGCTTAGAAAGTAGCTGAAATTATCAGGAGCTCATAAATCGGATTAATAAAAGTTAAACGACGGATTTCATTATTTAAAGAAATGCAATAATGTGATACAGCATATTGAAAACTATTGTGTAAGACTTACACGGCGATTAAATAAATTTAGTTAGCTATTTAAGACTCATTAATGGCCTTGTTACTAGTAGAAAGTCTAATTACTTGGAAGAAGGACTAACTTGATTAAAGCGACGCCGTCACGTAACGCTCCATAGGCATCTTCACCTATTGATTCTCGAATGCACCTGCCAATCCATTTCATGACTCTCTTTTCCTGGCTGGAGTTGACCTTTGGACCTACCTATTGGAGAGAAAAAGTCCATTTATCTCTAATGAAAATTCGCTAGCCGTGCTCGACTTCTAGTAATATAATTTATCTGTTGCATGCTAATTAATAGATAGAACCTATATAATACCTTTCAGTATCATCAATCGTATATCTATATTGACGCGTATATTACTTTATAATACTTTAAACAACAGCTATGGAATAAGCTTAATCTTTAACAAGCAGTTACCGCCGAATCTTCAGATTCAAGGATGAACGAGAAATGAAATTCATGATGTATTACGAATTACCAATCAAATTAAATTAAATCTTACTTAACTTTTTTTCGAGTATTCAAACAATGCTTACATATAATTTCCTAGGGTAATACTTATACGGATTGAAACTTTATCCACTAATGGAAAAGAAACGATTTTATAAACTTGATATTATAGATTTATCGATAATTCTATTCTGTTAATAATAATTACTCATCTCATTTAAATCCTAAAGCTACAGTGACTCCTTATTATCAGCGAAAGAACATTAATTTTCACAAAGGTAATTTACTGGGGTATGACTGATTTTATGATATTATACATTTGTATATTAGAGTACATAGTTGTCTGCTAGCAACTCTAAAGATATAACTGCATGGAATGGCCATCTTTCTTAGTTTTTCCAGAAGAATGATACACGTCTATTCAAATTGTAGATGCTTACCCTTTTACGCACTGACCCATCATTTCCGGAGTCCTTTGGATTTTCATCCATCATTCGAATTGATCTCAAGCTTACGAGGCAAATCAACTACAAATAAAAGGAGTTTTGCAAGTGTTTATCTGTGGAAGGTGAGATTAGCTAACTAAATGTACGATAGAATATCTTATGTTCACTAACCCAAAGTTTTGGATCTCTAAGTAATAGGTGATCACGTAGATCTTTTAAGTCTAGTCTCTACGGCTGTTAGTATTAGTAGATTTTATTTATTTTAGCTATTCACGAATGCGCAGCAAGATTTATATATTCTAATAGAGCTGGGTAAAGAAGACGATTGCGCAGTACGGTCTATGAAATTAAGATTTTTTCAACTCGCAAATGCCTTTAGATTTAATTTAATGGAACATCAATCCTATCTGCGTAGAGAAGTAGATTAGAGTGTATTATATCCATGTGAGCAAAATGAAACATGAACGCCAACAGTAGTTAAGACTATTAGCCTCATTTCAAAATGAAATTTCGGATTTAAAGAGCGCATAGAATTCACGAAATAATCTATCCAAACACCCAGTCCCTAAGCTGGAGCCTGATTTAATCATCAACTGTAATCTTCTAATGAAATCATCAAAAATAAAGAGATGAAAGATTTACAACTCAGCAAAATGTTTCCTTCAAAACGATGTTGTGTAATTTTAATCTAATATGCCAGAAGTAATTATATATTAATTAAAAGCACACTCATTTTAAGGAATATACAAAGTCATACCTAACCTTACACGATTTACAGCTACTAAATTCTACTTTTCGGTGATCGGCTATGAAACAAAATTCGAATACTTGATGGATCAACTCAGTATAAATGGGCTGTGGCTATTTGCTGCTACTGCAAAGGAACGATAATGGTATAATATATCATTATCTGATCATAAAGGTCAGCTAAATCAATTAGATAAGTGTTGACTACGGAGTCAGTTAAAAATAAATAAAACACTAATAAGATCATCTTAATCATCTGATGCTAATAAATTTCATTGCATACTTTGCTATTGCAATAAAATCGATCTCAAAATTTCAAAATTTGAGGAAAATCAGAAGTTATCAGATA